TATTGTCCTATTCACAGATAGTACTTCCAAGATACCCTTCACGTCAACCGTTTACTTATCATGAGAATTCATGACGTTCATTTGTATCATGCACTGTATATCCTTTTACGAAATAAAATGTAGGGATAAGTTAGTTTTTTTTTTTTTTATCTTGATGTACTTTGGCATACTAGTTTTATGAAAGTAAACAACATATAAAATGGAGTTCAAAGAAGTAAGTTACCGAGGTTTGAATTTTCGATACACGTGTTCACAGGCGAAGCTGATAAATCTCTTTGTAGAACTAGTGAAAAGTCGATCTGATTTGCTGATGAGAAATTTTGTTGTTCATTGACCAAGGATGTACAAACCTCTTCCGAACACAAATGATAGAGTTATTAAATAGAGTTCTCTTACACTTTGTTATGTATAAAAGATGAATTCAAATGCCATTCGAAATGTTCGGTGATATGCGGTAAACAATCTTGATTGAGGAGTATGTTGTCATCTATGTTGCAAGTTGATGAAAAATCATCAGTATATCTGATTGTCATTGCAGTTGATTCCTGTAACAACAGTCAGTGATCTCTGATCAGTAGACATAGTGAAACCATTTCCTCAGATGCTCACTTGCAACCAGTACATGTTAGTGATTATAGAACGCATGACACTTTGAGTGAACTTTGTTGCAATTGCAGTTCAACGCACAGAGACGGTAATAGATGCCACTACTTGATAGATCGTTTCAAACCACTATGTACAAAAGATGATATTGATGGATCAAGGTTCCTGTTTTGAGAGCTAATAGTTCACATCCTGGTTGCAACCACTGAGAATCAAGAAAATAAAAACAACGAATTACCATTCCCCATATATATTTATATTTTCTTGACATCATCCAACTCACCGAATACTGCTTCGTAGGTCACCTCACTGCCTCAGGAAGCCCCTAACACCACCACCTACTCCGTATTCTTGATCGTCATCAAATAAGCAACTTCTTTCAGGAACTTCAGGAATATCATGACATCTCTACCCTCGAAGGCTCCGCTTAAAGGTATCTTCCAGAAGGTAGGCAACGACACCAATGAAAAGAAATCCATTGAAACAGTAGAAATTGTTTTTTTGGAAAATTACAATCACTAATGATAAAAGTACTAAACCTTACAGTAAAGTCACAGCAAATATAAATGTTATTCTGTAGTCAGATGAGATGTGTACACTGAGTAGTGTCTTTAAAAGTTGTCCACTTTTTTAATTCTTATTCAACCTTATCATAGAAGTACTTATAGAGGTTTCCTTGTCGCTGTCTGACTTTACATGTAGTGATCTTATCACAGGAGAATTCTCAGTAGATCTAGCATGAACAGATTATGAAGTCGTCTTAGATAAAGATGCTGACAATATCTGGAGTCTTCTGCACATCTTAAGTGATAATTTGAAAATGTTTGGGATGCATTTCCAGCTACCCAAATGCAAATTGATCCTCCAGGACTGGTCTTCAGTGGTACACTGCCTAACAATAGGTAGTGAAGTGTTTGAGTGCATTAGTTACTTCACTTACTTGGGAAGTCGTATCAGCCCTAGTGGGTCAGTGGCTGATGAAATCTCCGCCCGGATGCAATAGGTTCGTTTCTTTTTCACTAACTCACACCATCTGTGGCGCCACTGGGAAATCCTATTTTCTGTTAAAAGTTGGGTGTACTGCGTTGTAGTTTGCTCTGTCCTACTATTTGACAGTGGAACATGGCCACCAAAGGTAGAGAATATGCTAACGCTTCAGGTGTTTCACCAACGTTGGGTTCACAACACAGGCCGTGTTTTGTGATACCACCAGGTCAATAACTTTGAAGTGATGCACGGATTTGTAGGCGGAAGAGGAAAGTCAGTTGATCAGGTTTGTACAGGTTCTTTGACATAACAGGCTGTGGCATATGTTGCGCATGCGTAGTCACTGCCTACCACGTCGCAAAATGTTAGTCGAAGTGGTTCCAGACTGCAAAAAGGTTAGAAGTTACCAGACTAGAACATGGCATCGTTGCATGAAGTCTTGAGTGTTGGTTTGATTCGTGTAGGGAAATGTAGATTTTTCGGCTGGGGTCCGTTTGACAACAGAAACTAGTGGTTGGAGACTGTAGGTAACATGACTCCGGATCGATATCAGTTTCCAGATGTATCTATGCATTGTCTTTATTTTAATCATCCTGCTGAATTTTAGTATTCTCTCTATCCTGCTTGCTTTCTGTTTGTGACTTTGTACCACTGTTAAATGATAATGAATTGAGCCTAGCAGTGTAAAACATTCTCTTAGTGGCTCCAGCTGTTTGTTGATATCTGACCTCACGGGCTCTATCTATACTGTTTGAAGTTTTCTGAGAGGTTTCGTTCGAATAATGTACAATTCATACTTTCGCCTTCCACTTTGCCCTCATTCTATTATGACACTGATAAAAAGCCCATTTCAGTTAGTATGTAATTTATGTATCAAGTCAGGCTGTATTCTTCTAATGCTACTACCTCTGTTTTATTCGGTTGGTTTACGTACAGTGAATACCTAGGGAATTATTCTTCAAGAAGCCAATTTAAGCGAAATGTGGAAGCAGTAAAACACCAAATGCAGACAACTCACCAAGCTTATTGAATTTGAGACCGTAAGATTGATTTATTATGCGAGCAGGAAACTATCTTTAGTGACCTAGTCACCGTTAGTTATATGGCCCGAGAAATGTTATGAATGTGCAAACTACTGATTCACCGTGTAAAATCTTGTTATCAGTTTTATATATACAGAAGTGGATTATAGCAATCCAAGGCATACTGCGCCAGGGGTAATCATCTTTCATAATTCAAGGTATTTAAAACCCGAAGTCCAGTTATAATCTCATGTTTATTTACAGTGTGGTTCAAGTTGTTGAATGCTACGCTTTGATTAAAAATGAGTATTTCTCAAGCACAGCTAGCATAGCATAGACTAATTCAGCTTGAAAATTCTCCTGAAAATTTCGAAAAATCATAATGATTCGGTTTGCTTCACTAGTCGATAACGCATATTTATAATTTTTTTTCTGATATAGATAATAGTTTATTTGAGTAGCTTCTATAGTATTCAGTTAACTGCGTGTCGATGAAACTCTTTTACACGCTTTCAGTAATGCAGGATTGTTTTAAAAAATTAATAATCTAATGATGGATTAACTAATGGTAAACAATTTTAATGATAGCACTTTATTACTGCTGTCTGAAATCAATGATAGCAGTATCTCGGTTTAATTTACGATTTGAAGCTACACAAGAGTGTGAGGTAAAATACTAATATAAACCAATGCAACACTTGAAGTGATAGTATATGAGGTGACATAACTTAATGGAATATCGAAGATAAATAGTGAATACACCTTCCTATTGTCGTCATCGATTTCGATTTATTTTGACTGATTTTCCAGTCACTGATTTCTGTTATCTTTCAAGTTTATTGATTCGAATAACCTTTTAGTGTCTTTAGTCATCCGGTGAGTTCAGTTGGTAGTCTGGTACATGTGAATTTTTAACCAGAGAAAACTTCAGCAGACAATACTGTCTGCAATTTTGTACTCGATACTGATAAGCTAAGACATTTGTTAGTGTAATTTGGAATTTTAATTCAGTAAACAAAGTTAACTTCTAGCACACTATGCCGAATTTTATTTTTCAGAGTATTTTGAGGAATGTTTTTTGAATTTTTTGCGGATTTCATTTTACGTCAAAATTTAGCTCTCTAACCGATCTTCGACTCATCATGGAGGTTAGATCTTTATCGAATACATCAAGTTAGTTTTATTCGCATGTCAGTGTTAGTGTGATTCACCCTCAGATAGTCTTGAACTTCTTGTAAGTAAGGAGGAATGCAACCTTAGATTAGTCAGTATAATTGCCCGCAGAACAGACATGTGTTGAGAGGACTAATTCCGGTACGCAAAACTAAGTAATTGTACTAATTAATAAAATCACTAGTTGGTGTAGACCACAAAACTATGATCCTGCCGTGAAAATATTGTTTTATCTTTATAATCTAGGACAGATTTCTACTTTCTTTACCAATCCCATAAGCTTGACTTATGTGTTGTAAGCTCTTCTAAATTCTAATGCATCTAGACATATGATTTTACATTTATCATTGTCTTGGTTGGAAAAATATGAATACGATTAAATAACCCAACTCAGAGAACACAATACAACCAAGAATATTTTCTGCTAAAATTCTCAGGTTCTACAGTTGTAAAATGAAATTATTGAACACGCCAAGGTTGCACCAAATATTCCCAAAATGGAATGTAAATTAACTTTTTATCACTGTTAAAATGATTTATATGTGTATAAAGAGTGTGATGGTGGGAGAAAGCCAACAACCTACGACGAGGAGAATAACCTTTAGTTCATGAAAGTTTAACGTGTTTCTTAAGGTCTAGTCAATAGTGTTGCTACAGTTTCAGTCGTGTGGTGTTCTATCTGAGTACAACTGGGAGACAGCGCACCACTTAGATGCTGATACAGCTTTTAATGTCGATCACCGTGTTCTGAAGACATCAGCACGTGCAGTTCTGCAACGCCATGTAGCTGGAACTATAGCAGTGCAATTGACTAGACCTTAAGAAACACGTGCAAGTATTACTACTCTGTTGAACTTTCATAAACTAAAGGTTATTCTCCTCGTCGTTGGTTGTTGTCCTTCTTCCTTCTTTCTTCCACCGTCACACTCTTTATGCACATATAAGTGACACACTTAAAGGTAAAGGAAAACAATCTGCTTACTCTCCCTAATTCACATCTCGTTTCAGAAAACGTATTTGCCGCAAACTTGATGTGTTAAATAATTTCACTCTATGACTGTAGAACCTGACGAGAATTTATCACAAAAACTATGCTTTGTTCATATTGTCTTTTCACTAATGAAATGGGAATCTTAGAGTGTTGACTTTGTGTTTACACGAATTTTCTGTCAACCAAACTGGTCTTACTGATTTTTTATTGATCCTTCTTATCAGGACGAGAAAATTATCCAGTGTACAATGATGTCGATGTTCTGATCTCCGTGGACTTGAGCTCAAACAGTTCGACAATTCAAAAAGTCAAATCATCTGTATTGAATGCTTTGATGAGTTTCCTACCGGATGAGAAAAAGTTAGAAGCTTCCAAACAGCAAACAGTTTATCATCAACCCCAACGTAGCTTCAAATTTAAACAATTAACCGGGTCCTGTTCCAACCTCCAGTCTAGTGATGATGTCCCGAAAGTATCAGGGGGTGGTAGCCAAGGTGTATCACAGAATTCTTCACCCAATAGCTCACCTGTAAGAATTAAAAGTCATATGAGTTCTACAGAATTACGACATATAGATGTAATGAAAACCACTGATTCAATTTCTACTTCAAGTGCAAAAGAGTTTAGTGGAATCGACAAATCTGTTGAACTTCTGGACGTAGGCGTAATTCCACAGAACCAACATGATGTCCACTCATCCGTGGTTTCACGACCTAACAAAATTGATTTTCCAAATCCAATCCGTCAAAATCTTCCTAATCCTGCTTCTTTTACTCAGTTATCCTTTCTACATCCTGGACAGCAATACATTTACAGTACTAGTTCTCCATTTATTTCTTTGAATGTAAGCACAATGAACTGTATTCAAAGCTCTGCTTCCACTCCGAATGGTTCTAGCCCGTCAGACAGATTCAGTTTACGAGAGTCTTATGTGTACAAACAGTTTCGTAAGTTTAGTCAAGACGATGACTGTTGGTCACTTTTATCTCTTGGAATTCCATCTTCAGATTCAAAAGTTATTGAATTTAAGTTTGTTGATCGAATGAAACGTCAATTTGAATTTACAGTGGATAGCTTTCAAATTGTTTTAGACCCCCTGTTATCTTTTTATGAGTGCAATCCAGCAGAATGCATAACTCTACACTTTTATCCAACAGTTGTTGCTGAGTCTGTCTCTGGATCATTCTCTGAAGCCTTATATCACTTAGAGAATAAATTAATTGCAACTATTGAACCAGAAATGATTCGTGGTGGTGGTCTCTTGAAATACTGTCGATTGTTAGTTAGTGGATACACACCTGCTGAAGGTGTTGATGTACATACACTTGAAAAGTACATGAGTTCTCGATTCTTTATTGATTTTCAAGATATAGCCAGTCAGAAAACTAAATTGGTAGCTTTTTTAGCAAATCATTTTAGTGAGCATGAAGTTTCTGTTAAAATTAATTATTTACGCATTTTATATCAAGTTGTAAGTGGTTCTACTATATGTCTTATGTCTCATGAACACTTCCAAACACTGAATCTTATTTCAGAGATGTTACGTTATTTTATGTATTATTCACAATTCAATCGATCTTCTTTAAGTTTGGAATGGTTTGCTGAAAAACAGAATCTTGTTCTAGATAAAATTTATTTTGGAACACAATTATTCCCTGTAATTTCACGAAGTGAACCTTATTCAAAAAATTGTTTCTGTCTGAAAAATAAGTTGCCACCTGTTATCATACATAGCTCAAAGTTCCCACAAAAATCCAGCTGCTCTTCTATGGAAGACAAAGGAAAATTATCAACAGATACAACATGTTATGAAGATGGCATAAGAAATCAAACAAAACAATTCACAGAATGGGAGCCATCTAGTGTGTGTAACCAATGCTGAGTAGTATCGAAAAACTCTATAAATTCCAGTCAAAATTCTACAGCAAATCATAACTTGAGGACAGAATAGATTATAATTTAATGTTTGAACAGACTTTCACTATTCGTATGACTGTTGCCATCTTCAAAGTTAGTTGTTGTAGGTTCATTTTGAGCTCGATCATTGTTTAGAGTACTTTTACATAGTTGTCTGCTTCATGTTTTATCCAGTTCATGCTTGCATGAATATGTGAATAAACTAGTCTGTTTTATGTCAACCTCATACTTAGAATACGCATTTAATCAATGTTATACTCAAGAATGAAGTAATCCATATCACAATCCATGTATTGTGTGGATCATAATGATTGTGCTGTGGAAATACTTGTAGTACGAAACTTGTCTCCAACTAAAGGATACATTCATAGGAGAAACTGAACCTGATATTCTACATTGCAAAACAGAAGAGTATTTAAAATAAGGAAAAAGAAGCCCGGTGATGGGTGTTTTCTGTTCATGTGTATGTGTGTGTGTATTTATTTATTTATTTTGCCTCACAAGATGGGATCCTCTTTGTCCTCATATTTACTTTTTGTCTTTCATCGTCTGTTAGCTTTTGTACATATAACTGTTTGTTCATGTTCTTCTGTGTCAAAAATTGATATTAAATTCCTACTCAATTTAAACTTATGTGGTCAAACTTTCCTTATGCTTACACTGAATATATGTGTGTTTAAGATATCTAGTAGTGTGGATTATGCTGTTTGAAATAATTTCCTCATTCTTTAAGAAACCATTTCATTTCATTAAGATAAACAACTGTCGATGATGAAGTTGTTCGATTGAATCACACAAGTACAACACATAAGGAATAAAATATCCGTACAACTTTATTCTTTTTTTAAAAAAAACTTGTCTGTTTCTCAGCATTCCAGACTGAAAGGATTTGAATCATGTTTTCAATGTAAGACTCTTTTATTCACCTATTCCAAATTGATAATAATATATGAAATTTTCAACGATTGAGTTCCACAAATGATTCAGGTGAGTTTGTATGCTCGTCAATCGTCACGCAGCTGTTTTCATCAACATGTCAACACATCGTTACACATACACTTTCTAAAAGATTTTTTTCTCTCATCACTACTGTCCTTTTTTCCCCTGTTAAATGGACGTGAATGAGGTGTGAAATCTCATCTGAGCTGTTTCTTCTAGAAAATATAATCGTTTACCTATTTTGTTAATAATGATGATTGAGCTGTTTCCAGTATTTGTACGTCTTCGTATTGTTGAGAAAAGATTACACCATTCATTTCATTTATTCTGTTTCCTAAAAAAATAACTTGGATTATCAGTTATCCTTATTGTTACTACTGTTATGCTATATATTGTATTTTGTTTGTACTTGTCTGTGATCTATTCTGTCCCAGTGGTGATTATTCAACTTTTATCTGAATAAAAATAAATAAATCAACAAAAAATAATGATGATAAATATACATCTACATTTGTACTTGTCCAGTGTTCGTATGTTGTTTATTTTCTCGTGTTTTGTCTATTTTTGGCTGATATTTCATCAATATTGCTACCGTTATTGCTACAATTATTATTACTACTTCTACTGAGCACAAACCAGATTCTTTGACAATCTATTTTTCAAAAAAATAAAAAAATTGCTGATAATATTACAACAATTATTAATGTTTATTATACGAAAAGGAAAAAAAATAAAAAAAGTGATCTGTTTGCTCATTTTTAAAATGAATCTGCACTTCTAAGACTAGTTAATTCGGATGACTAATTCCTGAAAATTAGTCATTCTGAGTAGTGTTCGAGGGGGGGGAGTTCCAGCTGGTATCCGTGACAGTCAATAAGTGATAGATACATGCAACTCCTATTACACTTAGTTATTGTTTGGTATTGCCGTCTGACCCGGGTTAGTTTTCAACTCAACCTTCTTAGAGAATAGGATGTGAAGGTTTTTAAAATTAACTACTTCGATTCATCCCTTCAAAGTCATTCTAGTAGAATATGGAAGTAATCTTAGAAACCACATGTACTTTAGTGTAGTAGACCGTGAGCCACAACTATTTGTACGTGTTAGTGGATGTATGTATACTCCTGTGAATACCTATCAAATGCAAAGCTGCGTACTTTCATTGTGAACCTGAATTTTATGTCTACCATTAGAACTGGCAAGTTTGCTAGAGATGCGAAGACCTAGGAATACCACGAAATTTTTCAGTTTTCTGTTATACATTGTTTTATATCATCAATATGTGCACGTACGCTAAGCACGAATGTCTACTTCTTCCTCAACGCTTCAATTTTAGATGGAAGGAAGCCATACAAAATCAAGCACTTTAAATTAGCCACACGGACGACGCCAGACTATGAAAGGAAATCACTGTCAACATGGCGAAATTCAATTCGGGGACCTTCGTAGTAACTGTCTATTGCTGTACCGATTGATCTACTAAACCAGTGGAAAGCACATTAACTTTCACTTCAATCAAGTAGTGTTTTGCTGGATTTTTATGTTAATGAGAGGTGTGACAAGTGTTTTTGTTAAGTTGTTACCCTACTCTTGAATATCGTTTTTGGAGTTCAAATCGAATGGTACTAATTAGGAGGAGAAAAGTAGGGGATAATTCGATTTAACTAACAGTTTATTGTAGGAGTGGTAGTGATCATAGTCATAATGAACTTGAAATGATTGAAAAAGCATAGAGACCAGCTGAATATGCTGTTTACGTGCTAATCTTTTCACATAATTCAGATCACTAGTGTCAATGCAAACGATTAGATGAGTTTTTAGTCTGGAAGATATGCGATTGCCTTATATCTCATAGACTTGATTCATGTGTTGCATAACTAGAAATGACTGCTACACTTCACAATTGGAACTAAGAGGCATAGGTGTATTTTATGACAACTAGCATAAAAAAGAAACAAAGTAAGGAAATAAATGAGTCAATAATCTATCCAACTGAATCAGTGAAATCTGCTCGGCAACCTTGTGCACATTCTTGCAGTAGGCAAAGAGCCACATCTATTGTGTAAGGGCTACCGCAATACTACCTGGTTGCCCAAACCTGGTGTTCGAACACGTGACCCACTGACTGAAGGTCAGTTACCTAAACCAATGAGCCACAATTCTATATCTATGCAACTAGTGATTAACTTAAGTTAAACAATGCATATCATCACAAAGCTCCATGTTACAATTAGGAAATGGATCAGTGAGGAGATTCCTTTCATTCACAAATGAAGTCAGTCGAATAACCGTTCGAAACTACAGCCTGTTATTTGGCTGTTTCGTGTTACTGGTAAGGCCATCTAAGTTAGCCTTGGTATTGGCTTCAAATTATCAACAGTGAAGATGGTTGCTTACGGAGGCAAAAGAACTCATCTATCCTCATATTAGATGACGAACCTGTCAGAGTCCATTTGTGATTCTGTCCATTTCAATTACCTGTGAAATAACATAGGTCCTCTGTGCTTCTTATCTTTCTCAAATTCTTGATCAATGCTAGTTTGTGATACCAAGCATTTGTTATCGTTCATCTGAACAGCCTCCGTGAGTATAATAACCCTAAAAACACAGGTGAAAATGATATACCAACCAAAATTAGCTCTATACTTTAAAGCCTTCGGATATCTTTTTTCAAATTTAAACAGATGCGCAGTTCGAAATGGTGACAACCACAGAGAATGAAATATCGAGAAATTACAATCGAAAATCAGAAACCATTACATAAACCATATATCAATACCATTTTCATTGTTATGCGAAAATGTAAAAAAACAAACAAGAACAATGAATACGTCACCCCCAGTAACTAAGTTTTATGGGTTTTTTTTATCTTCATCTGGCTGATGAATAAGGATGTAATGAAATTCATGTATAGGCTTATTTTCTGTACACTATCCTTACTGCTGCTTTTTTGAGAGTTTCGTCCAATGATTTTGTGGTTTCTACTTACAGAACTTCAAAACGGTGAAGTAACCAGAATGAGTGGCTGATTTTTAGCTTGTACAACCCAAAATACTGAAATATAGTGCGGAACGATGAGAACTAAAAAGTCAGTTTTTCCTTCCATTATGCAACTAATCGGTAGCTTGTTTTACCATTACATTTTTATATAGTGCTGGCAACGGCTCTAAAATCCCCTTGATACCAACTAGTATGTTTATTATTAGATTGTGAATGGATGTTTCTAGTAAAAGTTCAGTCTAATTCGAGTATGGCACTACTTTTCTTAGCACTCAAAGAAGTGGGGGCCTCAGTGAAATATTGGGATATGGTAGTATGTTTTATGGGCTCTGTTCTCTTACAAAGCCAATCTGCCAACAGAAGACAAAAGATTATCAGTCAAGAAGTTGTTTCTTCCGTCAGCCCGCATAGTGTCAATGACACCATCAAATCTGCAGGAATATGGCAAATTATTCTCATCCTTTCATTAAATTTGACAGTTGATGTCGGATGAATAACTGGACCCGACTTTTGTACGTGCATAAATCTGTGTTCTGGTATGTTACGTTTGTCTTTGCAGAATGGTGCTGAGTGTTGTAGTACTTAAAACCTCGATTTTATTTCAGAGTTTGGTTGTAGAAGATTGAAGATGCTACTTGACTGGATGAAGTCGTTAGAAGAGATTGCTAATGTAGGAGATAAAACTATTTGGTAAAATATGAGGAAGATAGAGAGAGGCGGAAACGAAGATAGTTCACGTTTATACTTGCTAAGCAGTACTGTTGTGTTATTGACTGATGATTCCCAACTGACCACAGTTTAGTTAACGATATCCTTAATCACTTAAAGGATTTAATTGCTTAGTAGCACTACTCAATCCCAAAGCTCAAGGTATACCTATGTAAGGTCCATCACATTTAACTTTGATAAATATTAGTTGGTTGGAGGCAATTGGTAGGAAGGCCTGTCTCACCTAGGTATCGTGCTTGTTGGTGGTAGATAATAAGACATATTTACAATCTCTACAGAGCTGTTGTCCCCTGTGAGGTTCGAACGCATCACGCAGTCCTGCAGTCAATCACTATCACGGAAGTATTTTGTCCTCAATCGACCTCCTGCAGGACTGGATTAGAAGCATTGATTTTTCACTAGAGAGCAACTATTTTCATACTGTCAAATCCTGAGTGCTGACCAAATCCTACCAATCGCTTTGCAATGTTGCCATCGAGCTAGGTTTCCTACAGATTGTTACCAACCAACTAATATCCGTCAAACTTCTCGGCAGTGGTGTGCCTCCTAGTTTGATGTCCACATTTTAAAAATGGTAGATAGAATTCTGTCTGCACTCAGGACTAGACAACATGAAACTGGTTGTTCTCCCTCGGCCAGTCAATGCATGTAACACAGTCCTACAGGAGGTCAGTTGGGGGTCGAACAGCCCAGTAGTAACTTCCACTGATTACAACACTGGGAGATACCAGATCGAACCTCAAGTGGTATATCAGTTCCGTCGAGACTTCCGATGCGCCTTGCTGACGAGTGCTAACGAGCATAAAACCTAGGTCCAGTGCTTCCTGCCGACTGTTGCTAACCAACTAACATCCATTTAACTGCGCCGAGATGGTGAGCCTCCTAGTTTAATGAATTAGACAACACGATATTAGTATTCTCCAGTTGTCGATCAATGCGCATTTGACTTTTTCATAAAAGTTCTACATAGAACCTTGCAGTAACTGGAAGCCTAAGCCAGCGTTGAAATGTTGACTTTCACGGAAAATCTCCAATTTCCTGCTAGACTGGAGTGCAGTTTATGTAAACAGTTTATCGTGGCCATATCCTAGTACCTACAGCTAAACAGTTTTACATTCAAATACTTAACACAGCGCAGCGGTTATGAACTTATCATTCATCAATTAACTTTCTTGATATTGTAACTCCTTATGCAGCAAGTATTCAAATTACATAGTTTGACTGGACTTGATGCATCTTTTGGAAGTTCATTTATTCAACAAATTATCATTATTCTTATTGTTTGCAACCCCATACCTGGCATATGCCATGCATAGATGACAACTTTATCTTGATCACGAAAACGTTTCAAAAATGGTGTACATTTAATTCATATGATCTAAACAAATCAAAGGTAATAGAATGTTAGTTAGTTGAAAAGGATAATTCATTTGATAAAACTCAGAAATGAACTTCAAACAGTTTGTGCCTTTTATAAATTTAAATACAGCATTAAAAAGACAAGTATTGAGTGGTGATGTTTTTTAAAATTACTCTAGTTACCACCTTTTACATACCCCTGTTATCACCTGTTATAACGTTGTGGGGACTATTGTATATGCGAACGCTTGAACAATAACCTTATTCTGTCCTTAATAGTCATTTAGTTTCTCAATAAATGGAAAAAGTCGTAACAGAAGGTATATTTGCAACATCAACAAGTGTATACAACATACAAGGTTTATATGTATTACAATAACTTTGGCTTTTTCTAGGACTTTCTAGATTTAAATGTCCTACTGATTTTTTCTGTCTTCAAACAACCTGATACCTACACATTGATTTACGTGTTTTCTCCCGAAACGTCGAAACAAAATGTTTGGTTCTAAAAGGCTTCGGGCATATAAGGCTTCTTATGAAGATTTTGTCAATCTCTCTGCACTCTATGGCAATTTTGTAGTTGCTCTACTTTCACATAACGGATAACAAGGTTTAGAATAACAAATTATTCGTCAACTTTTCCTGGTTATTCGAAGTGAAGTGAAGTGAAGTGAAACATTAACTAAAGATTATACTAGGTCAAGTAGTACAGGGTAGGCAAAGGATCACATCCATTACTTTCTGAACACAGTTTTGGATATGTGTGTGAATAATCGAAAGTACTTCTGCTACCTTTAATAACTTTGGATTGAAGTTCTATGAAACAATTCAAAACAGGCCTTCACATTTATTTTGGAATGACTCTAAAGACCACTCTAGCAACTACTGGTGAAATAACTAAATTAGACCTCTTCATTTTACCAAAAAAAATGCTATCCTATTTAAAATAAAGATATCTATTTGGTTAGGTTGGCAGTTGCTGGGGTCGCATTTAGTGTCATACTTGATTTTGTGACCGGTCAATAATAAAGGCATGGTAATGATGCCGAACTGCTATTCATGTAGGGTCACTCTAAAGGCCACCACTGAGATAACCAACGAGATTTCTTTATTTCGTGAAAAACTATCTTTCCTGCCGAAACATTGAAATTTGATTGGTGTTTTCAACATTTACCTGGGTAGTCTCTAGAACGAATTTATTCTCAAGCTGTACATTTGTATATAATATGCTATTTAAAGACTGTAATCCGTGAGCAAGATTTAACTTAAATAATGAGAGACTGAAATAATCATAATGGTGGTTATAATGATGGTGTCTTCAACTTCTAAAAACAGCAGAGACCTTGGCTATGTATGACCTGAAGCCTGACCTTTGTGTTCAAAAGAAGTATATACAGTCTATGTCTCTACCTTGGCCTTAACTTATTTTGGTCTTGCTGTGCTTCTTTCTTTCTTTGTTTTTTCACCTTCCTCTTTTGTTAGATTAATCTTTGTACTCTTACACCGTCATTATCATTATTTGTATTTTTAAATTTAATAGTTTCCAGTGTTACGTTATTTGATCTTCCTAATGACTGCAGCTTTTCACAAAACATTTTCAATTTATTCCACTTAACTTGTCTCAATCATATTGTCTAAACCTTTGATTATTTATTAACTCTACCACTTTTTCACCCCTTTTTAATCTATGTGCACCTTATGAACGATTTAAAAACCTTACGTAACGCCTTCTAGTTATCATTCAACCCTTACGTTATCAACTAGCAACATTATAATCATTATAACTACCGTTAGTATTGTTATTTTAAAGTCCCATCATTTCAGTTAAATCTCGCTCATGGATTACAATAATACATA